CCCCAGCACAGTACCCTACCACCACCACTTGCTAGCACTGCTCACAACCCCCATCTCACCTCAGCACTGTGATGAGAACTACTTCATGCGCATGCGTGCTTCCTCAGGACTGTTGTCAATATAGCAGTAAGATCCCATGCATGTATGTTAGTGATCGGTATATACTGGCACTATTGCACATGCGCAGGATCTCGCCACCATATTCTGATCTCAGAAATATGGCGGCAAGTTCCCGTGCATGTGCGGTAGTGCAAGCTGACATATTGCTGCTAAACTCAGATGGAACCTTGACAAAACCCTGAAGCCATGTTGGAGACTTTGAAACTACAGGTATTCCTCACTTAACGACCAAGTTCCGTTCCTACGACCAGGTCGTTAAACGGATTGGTCGTTAAGTGAGAATATGTTGCACCTCAAGGACCCTAATAACCTTCCCGGCTGCAGTGACAAGAAACAGGAAAAACTGATAGAAAAAGGACAAAGAAGCCACGAAGGTAGAAACGAAGCCACGAACGAGAAAGGAGTGCAAAGGTAACAAAACAAATATCACAAACAGGGCGGGAGTGGGGGAAGCTGTTTTTTACCCTGTGGACCCCACCGAGACTGGACCTTTCCCTCCCTGGGGAGCGCCTATACTTCACCTCACCCTGACCAATCAGGTAAGCAACACTCAACACCTCCCCCACCCCCCCCAATCAAACGACTTAACCCTTGCTAAACTCTCTCTAAGACCCTGTCATGTTGGCCTTCCAAAGATGCCCCCGTCCGACTTTATACCTAACAAACCATTTTTATCCGTAACCAACTAAGCTAATGCTTATCCTACATTTTTATCATGAACATTCAATCTGAATCTCAATCCAAAACTTTGAGGGAAATAGAACAAGCTATTTTTTTTCCTGTATCCTCCTCTATAGGATAGTATGTAGAACATTTAACCCATATTTACATTGTTAGGTGACCACTGTTAACAACTAAATCACATTATAACCATTCCCATTCCTTTTGCTTTAAAAAAAATGGTATAAAAAACAGACAAATCAACTGTGTGGCAGCATTACAAAGAATGATTAAACTATATTGAGAATGCAATTGTAAGATGTGTGGCCAGCATGACACTGATCTCCCCGATTTCCAGGGAATGGAGCATTGAGGATGTGTGATCTGAGTATAATTGTGTATAATCAGTGTGGACAAGGAATGTTGACTTTGTCACTGTGCTGTTTTCTCACTATAACATTTAGAAATAACAGAATACAAAAATCAACTATTTGAACAATCTGAACTTTTCCTCACTTGTTTTACTGCAGGCAGAAATTGATCACTTGACCTGTGTGTGTGTTTCTTTGCCCTGTGACTAAGCAGAAATTTGTTTCCATGACTCGGCAAACAAGTAATATGTTGTCATCTGTGTAGTACTTGGAGCATTACTGTACATGCAGAGTAATCCTAAACTAGGATACTGGTATAGTAGGGATGGTTGTAACTGTAGAATTAGAGTAGAATTCACTCCTTCATTAATTTATTTCCTGTTACATGTTACGAGGCAGCACAGAGCCGAGTATCCCAACTGCTTCTACTGGGTAAAGAAATGTATGAAGAATATCTTTTTTCCCCATACCTATATAATGAGTGATATTAGAGCTTTTCCAATTCTTAATCCCAGTTCTCCTATAATGGTTTAATTTCTACCTGTCCACTAGGGATTAGCCATTTCCATACACAGAGCACAGAGTCACCAGTGATTGGGCAATATTACATTGGTCAACCAGAGACTGAGCTATGTACTCTTTTTTTTGTTTGTTTGTTTGTAGGGATGCACAGATACTTTTCGAGTACCAGTGCAGATACGTGGCATTTTCATGAGAACTATCAGGGTTGCAGCGGCTGCAGCTGGGGCCTGGCTCTGGCACTCCACCACTGTCCTGAAATCATTAGTCGATATTGTTTTAGAGAAACTGTCACATGACAATAAACAAAAATGTATCAGTACTCATACTTGTAAGTACTCGGCAAGTACCAGTACTCGTACTCGCAAAACTGGTATCTGTGCATCCCTTTATTTATATTTATAAAAACAAAATCGTACATTAAAACGGAGATGTACAAATCCCAGGAGCTCCGTGTGCCCCTTACAAATGACAGCTGCCTCCTAATTTTTTTATTTTTCTCTAGTCTAGTAGCTCAAAAGTATGGGTACATGTACTCGTACCGAGTACTGTACTTGGTATCTGTGCAACCCTATTTGTTTGTTTAAAGGAGAACTATGGGGTTAGGGCTTTTCCCCATAGTTTTCCTTAGGGTAACGGGAGGACACAAACCAGCGTCCTCCCGTCACCCTAAGCTCAGTATACCGCGAGCAACAGCTCGGGGTATACTGAGACGCCGCAGCTGAAGTGGATCCCGACAATTATGTACCTATCTAGAGGCAGAGCCAGCTGTACCCGCCCCTTCCCCTGTCCGTTACACCAGTCAGCGCTGGAGGATCGGAGCGGGGAGGGGTGAATCCACCCCCTCCAGAGAGAGTAGTGACAGGATCGAGAAGTGAGCGAACACCGATATGTGTTCGCTCACTTCCCGATCTACTGAGCCGACCTGTGACAGTCTCATTGTCACAGGTCGGCTAGAACTATGAGGTGAGTGAAAAGCACTCACCTCATAGTTCTTCTTTAATCAAAGGCTAGGTCACTATCAAACTCTCTGGACACTTTTTGGACATCTGCTGTGTTCTCTTGATACACAAAAACGCTGTTGCCTAGATGTGAATGGGGTGCTAGGATCTAAATGCTCATTCAAAAGTCCAAATGTACCAAGGTTTTCCAAGCAAGGTCACTGACTTTCGTAAGGCAGAGAGATTTCTTTGGTTTGGTCCTTTGAGTTTTTTTAAGGGGGGAGGATTGTTGCCCCTGAAAAGCGTTGGCTGTTTTTCCTTTGCAATTGAAAAATTAAGGACTCTTCTGACTTTTTGGTCTTGCACCCATGTCTATTTATCCTAAATTTCACACTAACCCTCCCTGTAACTCTGATACCAACTCTCACATCTGTTGGAGACTGTGATTGTGGGCATGATGTTCAGGAAAATGAGATGAGAGAGTTGGAGTCAGCTGTTTGTAAACTTGATGATTATAAGTGCTTGGGCAACATTTTAAAGAAATGCAGTAAACTCCCAGTTATCCGGCACCCAGAGGATCAGCAGGTGCCAGATAACTGTAGTTTCTGGTTGCTTGAGGGTTATTAATAATAAAAGCAACCACCCTGCTGTGCCCCCCCC